AAAGCTACTTTTCCAAAATGGCAATGTGCACTTTCTTCCCAAAATGGTATTAAGCATGGGCAATGCATTAAATGCTTGAGTTGAAGCCTCTAACAACTATGCAAACATTTAATTATGGAGTGCCAAACAAGTTTGAGGCCTGCAAAGCAAAGATTGTGCAGCCTAGCAAGGACTTGAATTCTTGTTCATCATGAAAATGACCTATAATTCAAGAATGAAATGCCAACTTCATGCCTTCGATTCTCCTTGCTCAAACATGATCTCAAGGAGTTCTTGGTCATTTTAGAAATCTTGTAATGTGCTATAAAACCCCTCTTTGAATCACTTTCGGAAATTACCCTTGGAACTATGTGAAAAACTTCCATGAATTTAGGTCAAAATCCTGCCTAAATTAGGGCAAAATTTCACTAAGTTTCCAAGTTTCATGAACATGTATTCACAAAATCATAACTTGAAATCCATGCATTTATAGGAGAATTTGTGTAAAGAAATGTTTTATATCTCATTGAGATCTACAACTTTCATGTTGAAAGTTTCTTTTGAATCATCTTGCATCATGGTGAAAAATTGGCTTAAAGTTGTGAAAAAATATGAGGTTTTCAACACTTAGAAAAATTTCTAACTTTGGAAACTTTGACTTTTCAAAATGAAATCTTGACTTTCTGATTTCTTGATGAACTAGTTTCATATTTTGACATATTTTGATGAATTGTGATCTTTGACACTTGATTTTGACCAAAAAGTCAAAGTTTGACTTTTCAGTGTGCAGTTGACTTTTGATCAGTTGACTGAAAATCAACTATCAATCAAATGACCTTGAGCAATGTTTTGAGTCATGCCATTAGGTAAAAATGATGGAATTGAATCCTTGAGATCATGTTTCCAACCAATCAACCATTTTCTAGGTCAAAAAATTAGAAATTGCCTTTTCTCAATCAAAACCCTAATTTTGACCATTTTGCCCTTTTGATGATCTGATCAAATTTCTTGAGGAATTATGGTCCAAACTTGATCAAATGACATATAGGAGTTCACAATGTTGATATGGATAAAAAATTATGAAGTTTGACTGTAAATTGACCACAATTGACTTTTTCCCCAATACAACTGACTTTTAGGTTAACTGATCAATTGACTGAGTAAATATGTGATCCAAGACTTGAAACTTGACATGAGCAATCTTGAGGGTCCAAAATGACCCATGAAAATAAAATAAAGCATTAAAAGTTCAATTACCCTTGTGCAATCTCAAACCCTAATTTCAGTCATCAATGCTTAAGGAGGTGTCTTGAGCTGATCAACCCTTGTGCAGTCATGAACCAAATGAGATCTTGTGAGAAAATACTTGATAAACGAGAGGGAAAATTTTGGGGTACAACAGAGAGAATCTGAAATGTGTCTTGAAAGATGTTCTATATGACCAAAGAGCGTCATCCAGATTCTTTGACCAGTCTTTTCTTGACAATGATATTGTTTTCTCTAAGATCTATTTAAGTTACATGTTTGATACTTCTACTTGACCACAAGCTTGATGATGACATGGTGTCGATAATTTGTGTTTAACATTGTACTTTCCAATAATTTTTCCAAATATTTGTTGCAGAAATGCGTCCCCCATTACTAATAAGCACTTTGGGTACTCCGAACGTAGCAAAAACAATCTTCTTCAAGAAACCAGTAACACTACGAACGTCATTGGCGGTGCAAGAAATAACTTTAATCCCTTTACAAACATAATCCACACACACTATAATATAAAGATACGGGTTAGATTGGGGAAAATAACCCATGAAGTCAATGGCCCAACAATCAAAAGGTTCAACCTCAAGCATTATATTAAGGGTCATTTTGTCTCTTTTTGAAATATTACCTATTTAGTTACACTCTTGACATACCGCCACGTAAGTCTTGTAGTCTTGGAATAGAGTTGGGCACCAAAACCCGCTTTGTAACACTTTAGCGACATTTCTTTATCCACTGTGGTGGCCTCCATAGGGTGAACAATAACAATGTCAAATAATGCTTCTAGAGTCACTACCTACAACACACCTGCAAAGTAATCTGTCAGGACTTCTTTTAAATAAGTATGGATCATCCCACAGGTCAAAAATGTCTTTTTTTATATAAGCATTTTCTTTATTTCCAAGTGTACTCTTCTGGAACAATTTTTGTGGCTTTATAGATTGCCATATCTGCAAACCACAATCTTTCACTTATTTCCATTAATTATTCATACGAGAATTCTTCTTTGATTTTTTTTCTTTGTCACTTTTGCGTTCTCCAACCTAGATAAATGATCAGCCACCTCATTCTCTAATCTCTTTTTATCTTTAATTTCTAAATCGAACTCTTGGAGCAGTAGCACCCATCTCAATAATATGAGCTTAAAGTCACTCTTGTTGAATATATATTTCAAAGCTGCAGGATCTGTATAAATAATAACTTTTGAACCGATTAGATAGGGCTAAATTTTTCCAATGCAAATACCACGACCAACAATTCTTTTTCTGTAGTCGTGTAATTTACCTGTTTTTTATTTAAAAAATTGCTGGCATAATAAATTGCATGAAATTTTCGCATGTCTTTGGCCAAGTACCACACCAACCACATAATCACTAGCATCACACATAAGTTCAAAAGACAACTCCCAATTGGGTGCCACCATTACAAGAGTTGTTACTAGCTTATCTTGAATTACATCAAAAGAATATAAATAGTCTTTATCAAAATTAAAATCGTTCTCCATAATGAGAAGGTCTCGTAAAGGTTTTACAATTTTTGGAAAATATTCAAAGGATAAGATAAACGAAGCGATTTATGTTTTAAATATATGCATTTAGTTCTTTTTATATTCTAATTTAAAACTTTAAAGAAAGAATAAATGACATGGCATAAATTGGTATAAATGGCATAAAAAAAATAAAACACCTCACAGACCACATAGACATATTATTAGAGATAAAGGTACATATGGATTGATATGAATAAGATATATTTTTTCATATCCAATCTCCTCCTCTAACCCTAGTTGTCATTCTTTTTTTTCCTTTTCTTTATCTCTCAAACAGGTGTGATTTAGGATCAATTTTGATTTAAAATCACTCTTTCAAATCGTTTTTGTTTCTCTACTAGTTAAATAAGTGATTTTCACACATATATTTAGTGTTTTTTTTTGTGATTTCGTCATTTTAGTGCATCATTGTTCGTTTTGATTTTCCGTCTTTGTGCGATGTATTTATATTTCTCGTCTTTGTGCAGTGTATTTTGTTTTTCCGTCTTTATACGATGTTCATTTGTTTCGGGTTGAAAGATTAATTTTGACCTAGTGCATATTCAATCTATGACTTTGGTGTCATTAACGATATAAATCTGGAGGCATGAATATTTCAGACATTTTAATACAATAATATTTGTAGGCTTATGTAATTTACCGTTTTATACTATTAACATAGATGTCGTGAGTTTGTTTGCAGATTCATCATTTTTATTTTTAGCGATTTTGAATTTGTATGACAATAATATACTCTATTAATTTGAATGAATGAATATAATTTATTTTTAATAAAAAATCAATTTACTAAAAAATTTAAAACAATATAATCTTTAAATATTAAAAATGAAATTTTAAACTTATTTTTACACGACTTAAAATAGAAATCAATTAATATGAGAGGAGAAAAAGTCTTATTAATAGATTAAAAAGATGTTAATATATGTAAATTTGTTTGTTTCTGTACTAAAAATAAAAATTTGTATGTAAAACTGTTTATTAAAAAAATTTAATTAAATTTGTGTTTTAAATATAATTAATATTTATAAAATCCTTAATATTTACCTTTACAACACAAATTTAGCATAACTCATAATATAATTATTTTAAAATTTATTATTTAGATAACAAAATCCTATATTTATAATAAAATCTATATTTCTAATAAAATAGTTTTATATAAGATTCTCTCTGGATTACAATGTAAAGAACTAGTATGAGTGATCAATTTTACTTGTTAAAGTAATTAAAATGAATTTTTAGTTGCCTTAAAAAAAATATTTTGATGCACCCATAAATCACTTTCATTTCCTTTCAATAAACTCTTCAAAATAACTTACAAAGTTAGTTTCACTGTTTTTTTCTTTAACTGTAAAACAATTTACTATAAAATAACTTATATATTTCTTTACACTCAATTATATATAAAATTAATTTTGAATAGTTTTTCAGTTACACTCAATTAAAATTTATTTCTTGACTAATTTAAGATACTATATGTAATTAATTTTGAATAATTTATTCAGTTACATTCTCAACTAAGAAATTCAAATTTTTTGTTAAATTTTGTTATATCTCATTTATTCAGTCAATTCTATTTTTTAATTTATAAATAAAGTGAAAATAATTACAAAAAAATTTATATGAACAATCTCTAATCGACACATTAAATTCAAATTGAATGATACCATCAAATTAATCAGTATTAATTTTTTGTGTGGATCAAACCGTAATTGTCTCTTTTAAATTTAAAATTAATTATCATTAAATTAATTAAAGATTAATAATTAATAATTAAATTAATATTAATTTCATTTATTCGTTCCATTCTAACTATTAGAATAATACAAAAAATCTCAAATTTCTAAATAGTTTTCCAATTTTGAACACATTATCTTCATCAACCTTGTCATAATATTATTATTATTATTATTAGTACTTTACTATTACAATATTATTTTCATTTATTCACCATTATATCCCAAGTGAAACTCCTCATTTATTTCATACAATTTTGTGGCTCATCATCATCCAAAAATTTTCCTCTCTTAAATAATTGAGTTCCATTTCATCCACACTCATTACCAAATTGCAACTCCAAACTCAAAAATTTTCATTCAAACACAACACTTCTCTCATCTTAACTCAATCAAACTTGATCAACTTGATCAACAACAACGTTAATGCAAATTCTAAAATCTGGGTTTTCTTCAAGTTCAGATTTTGATTCATGGGTTGCATTTACTCAAGAGTTTGCATAGGTGACACTTGCAAGGGTTCTAGCATAAACGGTGATGCAATTTCAGTTTCAAGACAAGAGTTTCACGAAGTTAATCCATTTTCACCATTTGAAGGTGGAGTTAGAGATCAGTTGAATCAGTTAAGCTTAACAAGAGATTCAGAAGCTGGAATTAGAAGATTAGCTAGGGTTTCATCACAGTTTTTACCTGCTGATGGGTCAAGAACAGTGAAGATTGGTTCTTATAACTATGAATTACGGTATTCTTATCTTTCACAACGTGGGTATTATCCTGATGCTCTTGATAAAGCGAATCAGGATAGTTTTTGTATTCATACACCTTTTGGAAATGATGTTAATGATCATTTTTTCGGGGTTTTCGATGGCCATGGTGAGTTTGGAGCAGAGTGTTCGCAGTTTGTGAAGCGTAAGCTTTGTGAGAATTTGTTGAGGAACTCTAAGTTTAGTGTTGATGCTATTGAGGCTTGTCATTCCGCTTTTTTAGCCACGAATTTGCAGTTGCATAGTGATATTTTAGATGATAATATGAGTGGGACGACCGCGATAACTGTTTTGGTTAGAGGGAGAACGGTTTATATAGCGAATTGTGGGGATTCGAGGGCGGTTATAGCTGAGAAGAGAGGGAAAGATGGTGGTGGTGAGGGTGGTGTTGTGGCGGTTGATTTGTCGATAGATCAGACACCGTTTAGGGTTGATGAATTGGAAAGAGTGAAGCTTTGTGGTGCCAGGGTACTTACTTTGGATCAAATTGAGGGGTTAAAGAATCCTGATGTTCAATGTTGGGGTAGTGATGAAGAAGGCGATGATGGTGATCCTCCGAGGTTGTGGGTTCCGAATGGCATGTATCCGGGTACTGCTTTTACGAGGAGTATTGGTGATTCTATTGCGGAGAGTATTGGTGTTGTTGCTGTTCCTGAGATTGTTACTTTTGAACTCACACATAATCATCCATTTTTTGTTGTTGCTAGTGATGGAGTTTTTGAGTTTCTTTCTAGCCAGACTGTGGTTGATATGGTAGGCACAACTTTTCTTTCTCTCTCTTGCTTTAAGTTTGTGATGCATGAGAAAACATGTCTTGCTTTTTACTCTTTATATGATTACAATTTGCTTTTGTGTTTGCTAAAAAAGCAAGATGTTGAAATAGTTATTCAGTGTTTGTTAATTAGTGCCCTATAACATTAACAGAACTTATACAATTTACAAATCGCTATTGTTCTACGATGTGCCATTTAGCACTAAATGTTGTCAAATAGCAACTATAGCGGCACACACTATAACATTGTTGTTGTGTAGAGGAATTTGAACAAACTGCTACTTTCTGCAATCTACGATTGATAACACTTACGAAATTATCATATTTCGGTAGTAATTGGGATCTAGCATCACTGATATTAGTTAGGTACTGTGCGTCTCCAATTTGGAAATGAGAATGAGGAATTTTCTCTTACCATTAGGAGAAGCACATATGCAACATGCGATTTTTTGATAAGTTTGTCTCATAGAATGTGGATCAATGTTGAGATCCGCATCATTAAATTGTGTGATGCTTTTGGTAAATTAGTGCTGAATATGGATATATTTGTCTTGTAAATGTTTCTCCTTCGTAGAACTAGTTTCTGTGAATTTTTTTATTAAAAGCATCTGTCAAACTAGGTTTGGTTTATCATTCAATTAAGTTGAATGTTTTGTCTCTTAATTTCCTACCCTGCTTCCAGGTTGCAAAATTCAAAGATCCACGCGATGCTTGTGCTGCAATAGTAGCAGAATCTTATCGACTTTGGCTACAGTATGAGACTCGTACAGATGATATTACAGTAATCATTGTGCATATAAATGGCCTAAATGAAGTATGATGTTTTTCTTTTCTCCTGCTTCTATTCACACGTATTGTAAACAAATCACTATTTTTTGCGAAGTGCAATTGACAACATTGCTTGTTTGTTTATTTATTGGTAACTAATCTAGTTTTTTGAATCAGCCCGTTGTTGCTCACACGGCAACTTCTCGCGATATTTTACAAACTCCTGTCCCTCAGGTTGTAGAGGTGACAGGTTCAGAATCTCCTTCCACCTTTGGATGGAATGCTAGGAACCATCGCGTGAGGCAAGAATTGTCAAGGGCGCGTCTTCGAGCAATTGAAAATTCCCTTGAGAATGGACAAGGTTGGGTTCCTCCATCTTCAGCACACAGAAAGACATGGGAGGAAGAAGTAAATCCCAATTCATTTTTTCGCTTTTCATTTTTGTTTATTGATATCGATAATGAGCATTGACATGTTGTATAAATTTGTAGATTTATTTTCTCTTGTTGCCATGTTCGTGAACTTAAAACCTTGACGGTACTTCTTCATCTTATGAAACAGGCACACATAGAGCAGGCATTGCAGGATCATTTTCTCTTCCGAAAACTTACCGATTCTCAGCGTCATGTTTTATTGGATTGCATGCAAAGAGTTGAATTCGAACCCGAGGATATTATAGTCAAACAGGTCAGTTTCCTAAAATGCATTTTACAACTATTGAACTGAACTTGCACTAGATCTTATTGAAGTTTCTCTTTATTTAGAAGTGTAGAAGTGTGACAAAAGTTATATTTTGCAGGGCGGGGAAAGTGACTGTTTTTATGTTGTTGGAAGCGGAGAGTTTGAGGTCTTGGCGACTCAGGTTTATAAAGAATGCTATTTGTACCTAAGTCCTTGTCTAGAATTCTGTCTGTTTCTATATGATGTGTTACAATTGTAGTTCCACATTTATCACAATGACAGGAAGAAAAAGATGGGGAAGTACCTAGGGTTTTGCAGAGCTACACAGCCGAAAAACTATCGTGCTTCGGGGAACTTGCTCTTATGTGAGTCACTCTACCACCTCATTTGTGGATTTTCTACTAAATTGTTGTAGTTTATTTCGACAAGAAAAATATCTGAAATGTGGCGTTATAGGTACAACAAACCGCTCCAGGCTTCTGTGCGTGCTGTAACAAAAGGAACTCTTTGGGCTTTAAAGCGAGAAGATTTTCGAGGGATTTTAATGTCGGAATTCTCTAATTTATCATCATTGAAGTTACTTCGGTCTGTAGATCTCCTCTCAAGATTATCAATTTTACAACTGAGTCAAATTTCCGATTCCCTTACGGAAGTTTCGTTCTCAAGTGGACAGACAATAATTGATAAAGTGAGTTTTTTTTTTTTTTGCTTAGATACTTTTGTGCATTTTGCTTTGTTCTTTTGTTCAAGTTCTTCAGTATGTTTTTGCAGAGTGAAGTTCTTGCATTGTACATCATCCAAAAGGGACGAGTAAAAATAACTTTCGATGCCGCTTTGTTGACGAGTCCAAATACCAATAGTCTCAATAATGACATCCAAAATGAGGATGATGATGACAAACAGAGCGGAACAGAATTGTCGATAGAGAAGCCCGAGGGAAGCTATTTCGGTGAATGGTCCCTTCTTGATGAACACATTGGTTCCTTAACTGCGGTTGCTGTGGACGATGTTGTATGTGCTTTACTAACAAAGGAGAAATTTGAATCAGTTATTGGCTCCTTACAAAAGATTACTCAAGAGGATCACAAGTATGTCTTAATATGTGCATGTGTCGAACAATAGCTTAGTGGTTTCTTCCTAGGAAGCACTAACACTGGACATGGCATTGTCACTGATACATCGACACCAATAATAGTTTTTAAAAATGGAATGATTGAATGTAATGGATTGTGTCGTGTTGGTGTTGAAACCGGACATGCTTTAAATCTGGAGTGTTGGTTTCTGCTTATTTTCTTATATGTTGCATTTAAAATCAAGCTTTATATGTTGACACCGTTAATTTGACAATAGGTCGAGGGACAATTCCAAGGAATTGACTAAAAACTTTGAACTCTCATCCCTTGATAAAGTCCAGCTCACGGATTTGGTAAGAGTATTTTGTTGCTTTCTAAATTCTGATAAATTGTGCTTGCAATCGACAAATTAGCTTATGGACTTTTTTCATTGGTAGGAGTGGAGAAAGACACTATATTCCACTGATTGTTCTGAGATTGGACTCGCAAACTTAAGAGACTCAGGTAGATAAATATTTTACCAGTTTCTCGTTTAGAATTTGACTAATTAATGCTTAGTCCAAGAAATAACAGAATTAAACAAATTTAGTCCTTTGATTTATTTTTTATATCAATTTATCCCATCTTCAAATTCGACTCGACCAAGTCTTTAGATGTGATTGATATAAGCCAGATCTTTGGAGGATTATTGAATTAATTTGGTTCTTGATTAATCAAATTTGAAAGTGGATGTGAAATCATTTTTCTTGTAGAAAATGTGCTTACTTTGAAGAAGTTTTCCAAATCAAAAGTGAAAAGACTAGGAAAAGAATCACAAGTTTTGAAAGAGAGAGATTTGATTAAGGGTATGAGCTCTTCAGCTTGTGTACCACAAGTCTTACGCACCCTTGCTGACCGCTCATGTGCTGGAATACTGCTAAACACTCGTCTTGCCTGCCCTTTGTCTTCCATACTTTCAAGTCCTTTTAGCGAATCAGCAGCCCAATTTTGTGCTGCTTCTGTTGTTACTGCCTTAGAAGACTTGCACAAGGTCTTGTATCTAAATTTTTTGTTTTCCTTGCTTTTTCGGCTAGTGGCTAAGTTTATCTGAATTTTCATCCTCCGTGCATTTCATATTTGAATTGCAGAATGGTGTTCTCTATAGAGGTGTTTCATCTGATGTTTTGATGTTGGATCAAACAGGACAGATACAGGTTTGGAATTCTATTTATTCACCGTATTCATGTTTATCGGTGTTATTAATGGCAACCGTGCCATGGAATTATGACATCATGATTCATATGTTATCATGTTATTAATTTTTCGTAAATGATGTTGCTGTTTGTAGCTGGTAGACTTCAGATTTGGAAAGAAGCTATCTGATGAGAGAACATTCACAATCTGTGGGATGGCAGATTCCCTAGCTCCAGAGATTATTTTGGGAAAAGGCCATGGTTTTCCTGCCGACTGGTATAACTAAAACTTGTATAAACAATCATCGATTCTCCGATACGGACACGGACACACCTTTTTTCAGAGGTGTAGGTGTTACAGAGCTGACAAGTTTATTGATGATAATGTAGGTGGGCGTTGGGAGTTTTAGTGTATTTTATGTTACGGGGCGAAATGCCGTTTGGATCATGGAGAGAAAACGAACTCGATACAGTTGCCAAAATTGCTAAAAGGAAACTAAATCTTCCAGACACTTTTAGCCCTGAAGCTGCTGATCTCATCTCCAAGGTATATATGTATATACCAAGAAATAAAATATATATGATTTCTATTAGCCACGATTCGTGTTCACATACATATACATATGAAAACCGTGGTTGATGACATTCAAAACTGTAGTTAATTATGTTTTGTGGATGGTTAATGAGTTGCCTCACTTAGTTATATTCATTAACCATGTAATTGAATTGCATTAACCATCAAAATTGTTGTTGAATTTCGATGTTATATTGTGTGTAAAAAATATATGCGGCGCATGCATGAGCTGAGAATACTATGTATACTTAACTCTCTTTATTTGATCTGATCAGTTACTTGAGGTGGAAGAAAGTACAAGACTTGGTAGCCAAGGTCCCGATTATGTTAAGAATCACTCGTGGTTTAATGGTATTAACTGGGAAGCGATTCGAAACCGCACTTTTCCAGTTCCTCCGGAAATTACTTCTCGCGTAACTCAATATTTAGAAGCTCGTTCAGAGGATTGCAGTGCTTCTACGGGATCCCCGTCACAGGAAGTAGAAGAACTCAATGTGCCTGAATGGCTTGAAGATTGGTAGAAAAATGAGCAATAATAGGCTTTATCTATTTTTTGAAGTCGCGAGCTTCTTTTTCCCTATGTTTTCTAAAATATTACACAGGTGTTCAGAAGTATACTTCCGGACGAAAAACATAAAACATCTGTGTTTTTGTCCGAATCTATACTTCCATAGGGCAAAAGAAAGTTATTATTTTTGGAAGTATAGTTTCGAAGCATCTGTGCGGATGGAAAAAGAAGCTCCTTTGTTTGGATAAATTGCAATCCAAGAATGCAAAGAAGAACATTAGAGCAAGAATATCCTCCCAAGTTCAATCTTTTAGTTGCTGAATGGGTAGGATATGTTTAATATGTTATTAATCTCTTTCACTTTCTACTATTTTTTTGATAGTTGCTCTATCTTATGTTGTAAATATCATATATATGTTCATGATTGAATTTGTTTATATGTTCGGTTTAATGTTAAGTAATTTATGAAATTTGTATCTCATGTGCACATAGTGTAATATTATTTTCCATTTTCTGTTATAATTGTCACTTTCTGTTATGACAGTTAGTTAGTTTGATTGTTTTAGCTGCTGCTTCTCGACTTGATTCACCATGGCACCTCATCTTTGTGTATATATTCATGTTAGTTATGATCAATAAACTCAAGTGAGCATTTATACATTTCATTTTTACTTCTGTTAACAGTTTAGTTGTGGAATACATGAGATTTCACCACTCGTATCATTCACTTTTCGATCCTTCGTTCGAACCTATTCTCTTCATCACACCTTGTTTGACTCCTTTTGCGTTCTAACCTATTCTCTTCATTACGCCTCCTTGTTCGACTCCTCTTGATCCAATTCTTGACCAAACAAGCCCCTTATATGTTCATCCGAGCGATAGACCGTCATCTATCTCTGTCAATTCAGTTCTCACCTGCTCCAGTTATCATTCTCGGTTTTTGAATCCAATAGCTCAATCAATAGCATGATGTTGAATATGATTGGTGGATTGAACTATCTTAGTTTAAGATACAACAAAATGTATGTGTGAAAATGATTGGTGGATTGAACTATCTTAGTTTAAGATACAACAAAATGTATGTGTGAAAGTTTACAAGTCCTAGTTTAACTTGAGAAGTTAATATTGTTAAGTTGAACGATATCATCAGAATTCGAATACTGATGCATGTCCTAGTTCAACTTGCAGAAGTCTTAGTTTATGATCGGTTGTGTGATTTTCTAGTGGTTGTTACAATTTTGTTTATAGACCAAAAATTATACAGAAAAAGAAAGCACAAACATATATTAATATATTAAATGTTGGCTGAGCTATTATTCTCTAATCAAACATACTTATAACAGAACATTTTGTTCTTATATAGAGTTGCATGTCACATTCATTATATAATGAATTTTCAGATTTAAATGACTTGTGTGAATTATTTGAAAAATTCATTATACTTGAAATATCGATCAATATCTTTAAACAAAAAAGAATATGTCTTAATCAAGTAGTTTGGACTCTAGTAGTAAAGGAGTTCTTGCTAAAGATATAGTCCGAAGAATATTGGGTTCGATTTTTAGGTAGGAACAACATTTGGTCAATTTCTATATCTCTTGACACGAACTTTAAATTATTAGGGCCCCTTTCCCCTAAAAATCAGTTTATAGCTTATAGCTTATAAGCTTGTGTGGTAATAAAATACCTGTTTGGTAACAATCTTTTCATCACGGACTTATAGTTTATTTTACTAGCTTATAACTTATTTTCCATATGCTATTTTAAATACCTTTTTAACTTATAATTTATAGTTTATCATTTTTCTTCCATTATTATTCTTATAAATTTTAATTATTTTAAATGTACATTTAATTATTAATTAAGAAATATCTTTTTATGTCATTGTTGTATTTCAAAAATTGCCCTCCCATTTTATTCAAGGCATGCTCATTGAGGTCCTCAATTGCTCAAGAAGCTTCAAATGATTTCCAGGGTATCCTATATGGCTCAGCATAATGGCACTGTTGAAAGAAAGAAAAGAAGTGTACATAACAAGGTGTAGGTCGAAAGCTGAAAATATGTCTAAGGACTTTTGGGTCAAAGCAGCTTCGACAGCAGTATGCAGTCTATTCTGATGCCCAACGAAGCGCTAGGATCGAAGAACGAATGGTTCGAAAGAAAATATGAGGAGGCTTTTATGAAGCCTTCGATTGATGAAGAGCTAGTGAAGAGTGTCATCAAAGGGTTCGTTTTTGAATTATGAAAATGTAAGTTATTCGAAGCATTACAAGGAAGACACACTTCGACTGACATGTTGTTCGAATGGGCGCTTCGAATAGAAGAATATTTTGAATTCGAATGGGCGCTTAGAATAGAAGAATATTTTGAATTCGAAAGCTTTTATCTTATTCAAAGAAGCACGTGGATGTCTAATGGTTCGAAGGACATGCAACCTTCAAACATGGCGTGATCGAAGGATAGTTCAGAGACGAATCAGCCAAATATGAGTCATCTTAGAGTTTTGGGATCAATGTGTTCCAGGCATGTTCCTGAACAGACAAGGAAGGAGTTGGGCGATCGAAGGTAAAGTCTTGGTGCTCATAGGTTATCCTTCGATTGGCGCATACAAGCTGTATTCACCAATCGAAGGTAGACTAGTGAGAAATAAAGATATTCTTGTAGACAAAAGCAAAGGGTGGGAGTTGGAATCGAAGGACCACCTACACAACCGTGTTCGAAAGAAAGAACAAAATGAAGCTTCGACAAGCCAAGGTGAAGAGGCGATGCTTCGATTGGTCTGGTTGAAGGAAAAAAGATCGAAAAGAACAAGAGCTGAGTTCGATTGGGCTGATTGGATAGTGTTCAGATCAAGCAGCTAAGGCAGATAGTGACTCAATCGAAGAAGCCATGATGACGAGGCCTTGAACCATTCGAATTGGAACTCAGAGCCATCGAAGAACAAAGCTTGGGAGCATTCGAAGAAGTCAAGATGTGAAAAGTTGAATGGGATGAAACCTGTCCAGGTTCACTCAAAGCCCAAAATAGTAGAAAATCATAAAAAATGACAACTTGTTAAAATCTTTCGATTATGCTTTCAAAGCCATAGTTAATGGCTGATTCATGCCATTTTCGCCCACCACCACACCCCTATAAATACAAGAAGAGACTGTCTATCAAAGGGACATACACACGCATTGCCTATACATAAGAAGCTGCCCCAGAAAACCATACTCTCTAAAGGTCTTTTTCTATTCTTTTCACCATTTCCTTTGTTGGATAAAAGAAAAGTCGGTGGCGACTCTTGCTTACTGCAACATTTGCAAACACAAACGCAAAACCAGTATAACAGTCGGTTCTGCCACCGTATCACATACATCATAAAAGTTTATTATGATAAGCACTTATGTATAACTTATTTCACTATGTAGTAGCATGATTTCAGCTGGAAAAAACACAATAGTTGTAGTAGCGTAAGCTTCATGAACGCGTAAAAGCGCTCAGACGCTATTAGCCTCTCCAAAAGGAATAGCTTATCTTAAACGCATTTTGGCTCGGTTTTGGACTCGATTGGTTAGAGTTTAATTTTCATGTTTATTAATGGTTCAGTTTTGGTTTGTGCTTGGTTAATCTTAATTTGGTTCGGTTCTAGAACCATTAGTAAAATAGCGGTTCAGTTCATAGATTTTTGGAACATTCCTAAATATATGCATGAGGGATAAAATTGAGGAGTCCTTAAACTCCAATAGGACTTATTTTAATTGGTTTGAATTCTTAAAATTGATGATGTATGATGTAGGTTTTCATATGCCATATGTGCGTAAGTTTTAGTTTTGAAATTGTGATGAGAACGTGCCATTGATGATGTTTGAAGGTTGTAGGAATTTTTTGAATATATGAATATAAGTGCTTAAAAGAGTCAATTTGATGTGATAATATGGTTCTGATGTTTGTATATAATGTATGGACATTTTTAGTCAATTTTGGATGCATGGAATGGAAAATTGGAGTTCTGATTTAAACTTCATTGAAAGAGATGAAGTATGCTTTCTGCAGGTCCATGGCAGATGCAATGGCCGTGGAGGATGCCATGAGGCCCAGGCTCAAGTTCTGGATCAGTTCATCACACATGTGACATTTCAATGTTATAAGGTTGATGGAGAGTGTCATGCCCGTGATGGGTAACCTGCCATGAACATGAAATGCGCGTAAATGGGTATGTTTGCTTGTATTGATGTGTAAATCCCGATTTTTCGACTTTTGTAGGTTTTTTGGGCACTATTAGGCTATGTTGGTACTGATTTAATGTTAATTACTAATTAAAAACATTTTAATTGAGTAATTGGTGAATGATGAGAGTTTTTTTGTTGTGTCAAGTATGATTATTGAGTTGTGATAATTATGTCTTGTTATTATTATTGTTGATATTGCACGTTTATATATGTGCATGTTAATTGTTATTGGTAATGTTGCTTAATTGAAAGTATGCATACTATGTTGTTATGGTAATGTTGTTGGTGGCATGCACGGTAAGAAGAGGGACCAGTGTGCATGTGTTTGTTTGCATGTCAATATTGAATGTCATGCATCATAGTGTAAGAACTTCGATTCTTTTTGGTGACCCTGGATCCTATGGTGGGGGTCTGGTGCGAGTAGATAATTCCATTAAGGGATTAGTGAAGCCTTACTATATGGTGATTAACAGTGATTTTTGGTGTGCTTTTGTTCCAAGAGGGAATGTGATCCTATGGTGGGCATCAAGGAGCGAGATGGACCTGAATTGTCCATAAATGGTACCATATGCATAAACACCGAGTTGCATAGTTGAATCGCATTGCATAAATGAGTTATATGCATAATTGTAATTGTGTATGGAATTAATTTGGGTGTAAGAGTATTGTTGTGAAGTGATTCTTCATGCTTATTTGTCATATATATAGATGTTTGCATTTACTTTACAATTTATACCTTTTAATTATTGATGTGAATTCTCACCATTTTTTGCTTTGATGTTGTCCACCATGGACATCTTGC